TCCTGGGACTCCAAGGATACAGAGGATCAAGGAAAACGGCACAGGTTGTGAAACAGAAAGTTATCTACCTGGGGTACGAGGTGAGTGCTGGGCAACAGACTTTAGGGCAGGCTTGCAAGGAAGCCATAAGCCAAACCCCGAAACACCAGACAATAAAGGAACTCCGAACCTTCTTAGGCATGGCAGGGTGGTGCCGGCTCTGGGTTTATAATTATGGACTGCTCATCAGACCTCTCCGTGCTCTTATTGCCGACGGAATCAGAGATCTCCAGTGGACAAAGGAAGCCACGTGAGCCTTTTACCAGCTAAAGAGTGCCCCCATGTCAGCTCCAGCTTTGGGACTTCCAGATGTAAGTAAACCATTCTTTCTTTTTTTCCCATGAAAAACAGGGACTTGCTCTGGCAATATTGGCTCAGCACTTGGGTCCACATGGAAGGGCAGTTGCTTACTTTTCCAAGCAACTAGATGCAACAGCCAAAGGATGGCCAAGTTTCCTCAGAGCTGTAGCAGCAGTTGTGCTGAATATTCAAGAGGCATGCAAGTTTGCCCTGGGACAGAAAATGACTGTGCTAGTGTCCCACACAGTGTCCACAGTACTGGAAGTAAAGGCGGCCACTGGCTTTCACCACAGAGATTCCTGAAACAGCAGGCCATCATGGTAGAGCAAGATGATGTAGAGATAGCAGTGACTAATATTGTCAACCCAGCTTCTTTTCTCAGGGGAAATCAAGGAGAAGCAGTACACCACGACTGCCTGGAGACTACCGAAGCTTCCTACTCCAGTCGCCCAGAGTTAAAGGACACTCCCTGGGACAGTGCAGAGACCTGGTTCACTGACGGGAGTAGCCAGTGGAAAGTGGCTTGCTTGATATGCAGTCACTACCTGCAGAGAGGTAATAGAATCCAGACCCTTACCAACAGGCACCTCTGCGCAGAAGGCCAAGATAATTGCACTGACCTGAGCCTTGGAAATGGCAAAAGGAAAGAGAATAAACATCTATAAACATCTATACAGACTTGAGGTTATGCATTTGGAGTTGTGCAGACTCATGGAGCCATCTGGAGAGAGAGGGGACTGCTGACCTCACAAGGAAAGAACATCAAACATGTGCAAGAGATAATCCAGCTGCTGGAACCAGTTCAGCTGCCTGAAAGGTAGCAATTATGCATATTAAGGCACACCAGAGAATGAGCTTAGAATTGGAGGTAGGAAATGAGCTGGCGGATAGAGAGTCAAAGGAAGCAGCGAGAGGTGAGGTAATTATTGAAGGAGGTCTAATTCCAGATGGACAAATTTCCCTTGAAGGTAAGCCAGAATATAATAAGAAAGGCAGAAAACTAATCAAAGATCAAAAAGGGACATGCAACCAAGAGGGGTGGGCTACCATTGAAGGGAAGCTGGTAATCCCTTCCTATTTGTTGTGGTCACTAGTAAGGGAGGAGCACCAGAAAACACATTGGGGAGTAGAAGCCCTGAACGCCTATTTGATTGAAAGAATTGTTGCCAGGAATTTATGTGCCGCTATTGCTCAAGTGACCCGACAGTGAGATCTTTGCCTCCAGACTAACCCCAAGAACACCCCAAGACCAAAACTTGCTCAGATTGGGAGGGGCTATGGACCTGGACAGCAGTGGCATATGGACTTTTCAGAACTCCCAAGGAAAGAGGGGTATTGGTATTTATTGGTATTGACAGATACATTTTCATGGTGGCCAGAAGCATTCCCCACCAGAACTATCAAGGCTCAAGAGGTGACCAGGGTATTATTACAAGAAATAATACCACACTTCAGAGTTCCAGCCACAATATCCTCAGAGAGAGGATCACATTTCATTTCCCGGATAGTGCAACAGATTAGTAGCCACCTGGGCACAGATTGGGAACTTCATACTCCATACCATCCCCAATCGAGCAGCCACGTGGAGAACAGGAATCATTTTAATCTACCCTGGCCCCAAGCTCTTCCACTGGCACTGATATGAATTTGAACTAAAACTAGAGCCAAAGAAAGACTGAGTCCCTTTGAAATGCTTTATGGAATTCCATATGGAATACAAAAGGGCATGTCCACCCACACTGGGGAGGTAACATTAGCCAACTATATGGTGCCTAAGTAAACAGCTCAGAGAAATTGAAAAACGTGTGGCTGGAACTTGGAACAGGGAGCTAGTTGGACCAGTACATAAAATGCAGCCTGGGGATTATGTCTATGTTAAGCCTCTTACAGAGAAGACTTTGTACCACAGTGGGAAGGACCATTCCAGGTGCTTCCCGTCACCTTCACCGCAGTCAAGATCTAGGAGCAGAATGCCTAGATCCTCCACTCGCAAGTGAAGAACGCCCCAGAAGCCCCTTGGAAAGCTACATCAGGAGACAATGAACTAAGACTATAACTTACTTGGGCAAAATGAGTATATTGCGGCCGGGGGTAATGTAATTTCATTTACAGAATTGTTTTGTGTATAATTGAAATTGGAGTTTGGGATTAGAGAGTACTTCTATCCAAAGCGATGCTGAATGGCCTTGGTCCCAGGCTTTTAATGAGTCTACTGGATCCATGGCAGAACCTTCTGAGATAAAAGATTTAAACCTATCCACTGTAGTAATCCTTGGGAATCAGATATATGAGGAGCAGGAGTGGCAGGAACGGGAACTGTGGACACTTCAAGGGATCAGAGGAGAAGAAATCAGGGCAGGATGCCGGGTGGCCCGTGGGACCACTCATGAGAGACCAAATCAAATTAGTGTTTCAGCCTCTCCTGTATACAGGCACCAGGAGGTTTGGGATAGCCCAAGTAAATCAGACTGTTTGTGTAATTTCACATTAATACAGCCTGTAGAAGTGATTTGTCCTTGGGCTCATGATGCTATCGGGCTCTCATTTAAGTTTAAAATAGATGCTATACCTTTTGCCACGGCAAGACCTCATACAACCTAAAGTATATGAAATAGGCCCATACGTTGTGAGGAATATGGGTCAACAGCAACTGTTATTCAATCCAGAGTGGTCTCTCAAATGTGTTGAATTGCCAATGCAAATTAGCATCTCAGAAATCCAACTAGCCTGCTCCTCTTTCCTAAGGACATCCTTTGAGGGCCGGACAACGTAGTTCCAGAGACAAGTACACCTCAGGAGCAGAGTAAGAAGGGATGTAACTGGGATAATAGGGACAGGATTGGGAGTTTTAAATGGAATTGATTCAGAAATACTGATGAATAAACTGGCCACTGCAGCAGGTGGTCTAGCAAAATTGAAGCAGCTTTTACAGTCATCTCTATTGGCGTTAGGAACTAGCCAGTGGCAGATTTCAAAAGTACTGCCAAAGTGGGAAAAGGCCGGGGACCAAGACCACAAGTTAATAGTAGAAGCCCCTAGTATAGTTCAAGATAATGTGTCTTTAGCTCTCAGTTGTGTACAAGCACAGTTATGGATGTAGGCAACAGCATCTCTGATTGTACGGGAAAGGGGTGAAGGTGATTTTCCAGCTGAAATTAGAAAGATTGTCTGGGGTAATGTGATTGATTTTGAAAATAAGTCCTGGTGGACTACGATAAATTTTACCTATGATCCTGCTTCTAATGTGGCCACTGCCTTTATGCTTACTATACGTAAGGCCACTGTTTATGTTATCCACCCCGTCACTGCACTAGGATTAAATAATTAAAAAATGGTACTCCACCCCTCAGGGTGTGGGCACGAAATGTGAATGAAAAGTGGCAAACAGTAAACTTAGAATCTTGTGCTGCCAGGGAACAACTAGGATTCATTTGTGAAAGCAATACTATTATTGCTCAAGATGTGAATGTTGACAATGAACAAAGTATTTGCCATTTCGAGATTCATCCATTTATCTTGACTTCACCTGAAAAAGACAGGTGAAAACTGCCTTCAACAAGCCTACCCCATGGCATTTGAGGATCCTTTACCATTCCCCCCACTCCCCACCAAACAGTATCAAAGTGTGATTGAAAAGGGCAAAAATTTTACTGCAAATGTGTACAGTTTGCAGATGATTTGTTAATTAACAAGTTAAGAAAGTTCTTTCCCTTCCTGTGGTGACCCTCAGGCAAACCAGCACAGCAAGCTGCAGTTTGTGTCTCTGCAGCTGGCTCTTTGATTGCTCCTTCTCTCCATTGGCCACGCTTATACAGCCCTCTCATCTTCCACAACTCCCCCCCTTTCCCTGCCCTTGTCTCCTCCCAGATATGGAGCCAAGCCCAGGCATCATTTCCCCCTGGCTCACAGGCTGGCCATATCTGTGAACAGCCTTGGTGTTGCAGGTGGTGTTGGCCCACTCACCTTGGCCTTCCACGGCATTCCTGGTGCACTTTCCTAGGGTTCCTGCCAGGTTCCTCTCCCCAGAATGACCCCAGCTCTTCCTCTGAGTATCTGTGGAGTGTGACCACCTGGCACCTCAATTCCCCTTTGCTGCCTGTGAAATCTGGCTCTGCCTTAGGGCACTGGCACTCCAGTCAGGAGCCAGGAGTTTCCCTTGTCATGCTTGGGAGTTTCCCAGATGTGTTCCCTTAGCCCAGGCTCTCACCAGGCCCTAAATTAGCAGCCCATGTACATTGCAGCACCACCCCCAATGTATCAGCTTTTTTCCTATCCTCTTCCAAGGCTTGAGGTAGCAGGTTCCTCCAGGCCGTGGTGGCTCAGAGCACTGTCCTCTCTGACCAGGCACTTTGGAGCTGTTTGGAGCCGCTGTGTCCTTTTTGTGCCCCCAGGCTTGTTGTGCAGGTGCTGAGCATGGCACTTCTTGTCTTACCCAGGAGTTGGAATTGCACTGAAAAGATGGTTCGCTGTTACCAAAGGTAATTTTATTTCAACAACTAAATCAACTCCAGTGTGTGTGTGTGTGCACAAAAGAGAGGAGTGTGGTCAGGACAGAGCAGGGTTTTGACCCTGAGGCTGCCTTTGCATCAGCAAGCATTGCCCCAGCAGGAAATGGTTGTGGTGCACTGCAGCCTGCCCTGGATCCTGCCTGCTTCTGCTGTTCAAGGAGCACTTTTAACTGCGTTTATCTGCATATTGTAATCAATCCAGTTATAGAAGTGCTGAACGGAGGTGTAGACTCCAGGCTGCTTTGCTCTGGCACAGCCTTTTCCCCAGCTGGTGATTCCAATGACCCACCAGTAGGCAGCGTTGTTGTCCTGGCACATGAGAGGACCACCGCTGTCACCCTGCAGCAGAGCACAGAGGATTAAGGTGGTGTTGGTGGCACCTGCCAGCACTGGGGCTGTCTCCTTCTCTCTCACAGCCCCTGCCAGAGCTCTATTCTGGGCAGAGAAAAGCTCTGCTCAGAGGCTGGAGCCTCCAGAAGCTTGGCTGTGGATGGCATGGGTTCATGTAGGGTAGGGCTCTCTCTATCCTATCTGCACAGGACTCGTGGATGTGCAGAGGATGGAACTTTGGCACGTGGACCTCTTCACTGGCAAGAGCACTAGCTGGGCTTTCTGGGCTTTCTGGCACAAGGGGAGGCCTGGGCAGGCAGGTGTGGATGGGCAGTGTGTGGGAAGCCCCCACAGCAGTCAGGGGGAGCTGGGGCTGGGAGGGTGACTGAGTGGCCGGGCAAAGCAGGCCCTGGGCTGTGTTGGGGTGGTGCTTCCCTGGCTGCTGGTGCTGCTGGGGGCTGAGTGGCTCATGGCATGCTCCTACCTTGCAGGAATCAATGGTGCCCTCTGGGTATCCAGCACACAAGTTGTAGGAATAGACTGCTCCTGAGTACCAGTCACTGCTGTTGCAGAGCTGGAGATCGATGAGCTGGACCTTGGCCTGCTGAAGGTGAGCAGGTTGATCTACATCTGTGAGCAGAGAAAGGAATAAGCCCCCAGCAGCTCCATGCTGGTTCTGCTTCTCTGTCAGATGAATCCCTTCCGCTAGGGGCACCCCTTCTCTGCAGGGATTTATGTTCTGCAGCCTGGCTTTGGCCTCTGCTGTGGGGAAGCCCAAAACCTATCTCCAGTGTGCTGAGTGGGCCCAGAAGTCGCTCTTGGAACTCACTTCTTGCAGTAGTGGCCCCCCAGCCAGCAACCCAGCAGTTTCTCAGCTCTGAGACTCTTAGGGTGGGTTCAGCCAGACAGGCCAGCTGGACGTAGGAGCTGCACAGGACAGGACGTTCCAATTGAATCAGCGCAATGTCGTAGCTCATGTCTTTACGCTTGTACTCGCGGTGCATCACCACCTTCTTGACATTGCGCACTTGTGCCCCAGGGCCCGGCTGATACAAGTTGGTGGCCCCAATCATCACATACAGCAGGCTGATGTTACTGGAATGGAGATGGAGAGTGAGATGAGAGGGAGTCACAGCAGCCCAGCAGTTGCTAGACCTTGGCTTGGAAAGGTACAGAGGGAGGAGTGCTCTGGCAGGTGTGAGTGCCCTTGCACATCTTAGGCTGGGGGAATGTCAAGCTGGAGTCTGCTAGGAAGCCTTGGCACGAGCCCAGGCTTCTCCTGAGCACTGTGGCAGCCTGGCTGCCTGAGAGGAAAGGGGATGAGAGTAGCAGGTGGCGCTGCTGGCAGGGCAACTGCTGGTGTTGTGGAGATGTCCCCATTCCCTGCCCCTTCTTACTCAAACTTGTCCAAGCAGTGGGCTGCTGTGAGGACCCAATCTCCAGTGATGAGGGAACCTCCACACCAATGTTTTGTGCCTGGTACCCATGGGTGCTGGATGCTGACGAGCCAGGGCCATTCTGCTACTGCGGAACCAGCACCACCCACGATGCGTGTCATGCCGTAGTCATAAGCCACATTGCCGTAGGAATAAGCCACAGGTCGGTACCCACAGCTCCCTCTGCAAGCAGAAAGTCATTTCCATGCTGCTTCATGGCCTGCTGTGGCTCAGGCTGAAGCTCAGCCCTCTGCCCTCCCCACAAGGCCTTGCACGCACAGCAGGCCAGGGAAGGCCATGGGGTGTGTGTCTGTCCGTGCCAGCACCTGGCTGCTAGCAAGGAACTGAGGCTTCCCATGGTGGGTGGGAAGCTGCGGCCTGTCCATGGGGGACAGGTGGCTCCCCTCCAGGGAAGGCCACAAGTGTTGCCATGGCTCCTTCCCTGGGCCCGGGCCCACTTACCCGCAGGTGTACTGGCTCTGTGCCAGCCCTGTCACAGTCAGCAGGACGAAGAGGCTGAGCCAATTCATGTCTACCAGAGGCACGAGTCAGCTGCAAGCACTGAGAGCTCCGTGCAGCAGCACAGTCACAGCCGCACTGCCCGCAGCAGCTGTGCTGCCCGTGGTGCCCTTGGTCCTGGCGCTGATGTCACAGACGGGTGGGTTCCATGTTCTGGGCACTGTGGCCTATGGCCTGGGCCCCACTGGGGTCAGGGCTGCATCAAATCAGTGAGCCATGGAATGGTTTATGCTGGAAGGGACTTTGAAGATCACATAGCTCCAACCTGCTATCATGGGCAGGGAGGGATGGCTTGCAGTAGACCCATAGTGTGCACAGCCTGGCTCAGAAGCTGTCCTTGGACACTTTGAGGGTAGGGGCATTGAAGTACTGAGTCCTGATCAACAGTCCCTCACTAAGGCCAGAACAACAGGCCTTGACCAAGAGTTGGCCTCTGGATGAGTCTTCCAACCAGATGATGTGGGTGTTCACTCAGTGGCAAAACATGGATTTACCTTTCCATACTTAGAGACTGGACAGGCCCTATCTTGTTTGGGGGTGTAGGATCACAAGCAACCCCCTGGATTCCACCTGAAGCCCTCCAAGGCCTTAGGGGATTCCCAGTAGGAGACTGAAAAAACATGTTACTGCACTAGAAGTCTTGGTATCTTGTTTATTCAATGGTATAAAAACAGGGACCTCTCACAGGCAGTCAGTAACCTCACTGCCTGTAGGGGAAGGTACCTGCAGGATTTCCCAGTTGCTGTCAGTGGTTCCCAGTCCTTCACTATGACAGTGGCTTCCACCCAGTTGACGGGCAGGCCTGGATGATGGTCAAGGGTTAGGGTAACTTGTGATGTGTCTTTCTTCATCACTGTAGGCAGTTGTTTATAGTAATGATTAGCTGCATTGCATAGTTTATCCTTTCACAATTCTTTGCTAATTATTTGATGTACTGCTTACTTTTGCAATTCTTTGCAGGTTTGAATTTTATAAATTACATTTATTCCTGAAGTTGGTGTCTGTGTCTTCTGTGCTGACCTTGCCTATATGAAAAACAGGCATCACAGCTGCTCTGGGAAACCCATGCCAGTATATCAGCAAGAATTCCTCAAATTCTTCACAGTCAAGAATTCCTTCATATGATCTTAGCTGAAGCTACCCTCTATCACTGTAAAGCCATTGCCCCTTGTCCTATCAGGACCTGCCCTTGTAAGAAGGCTCTCTGCTGCTTTCTTAGGCCCCTCTTCCTGCAGGATGAGGCTGTGCAGTCCCTGGGGCAGGCAGCAGCTGAGGAATCCATTTGGGGCAGGGAGCTGGGTGTGCAGCTGCAGTGCCAGCTGCAGATTGAGCTCTGGCTGGCAGGAGCCTGGGAACAGAGGCTGTGTGCATCCTTCGCATGACAAAGGGCACAGGGAGCAGGGCAGGGGAATGGACACTTATTGGAGTTTGGGATTTCTTTTCCTCTCCTTTTCATTTCTCTCAGGGAATTTTCTCCCATTTGTTGCCTAAGAGATGGGAACAACAGACACTTAAGAGAGATAAAAGATATAGCCAAGGAGGAGTGGGAAGGGTGCAGTTTGCTACTGTCTCTGAGCAGTGAAGTTCTCTTGGAAGTGTTGAGATAGTGTGAGATTTTGGCTGGGGTTGAGAGGCTAGGCTCAGCTCCTCACTCTCTCTCACTCTCAGGGTCGGAGGGGAACAGTTCGGTTTGCTGCTGCTGTGGGGTGAATTTGCTGCCACAGCAGAATTCTGTCCTGTACTGCTTTTCTCCTTTCAGTGGGTAAGCTTCTGCTTGCAAGAGCAGCTGTTGAACTGGGACCTTTCCAATGCCCAACCTCATTGAGAAGGCAATCCTGACTCCTTCCCCCTTCCCAGAGGCCATCTCCCAGCAGCTTGTGGCTGCTGCTTGTGGTAGCCTGGCAGCCAGTGCCCAGCTGTGCTATTTGAAGCCAATGATTTAGGCTTTTTTACTACACGTTAACCTGACACTCCATGCCTACCGAAACACTGAGCGGTTTCTAGCCCGGCTCTGGAATCTTTGCTACACTTTGTCACTCCGGGATGGGGCTGCCTCTGCTGTTCCAGTCTGTTTCTCCAAAGTTCCTGCTGCAGTCCATTCAGCTTTCCGAGTGGCACTGAGACCAGCTGCTTCCTGAGAGTTTCCAAAGGAAGCCCCTTCTCCATCTCTTCTGCCATTACCGTGTGGAGCGAGGCGGCGGAGCTCGCGCCACAGCGCCCCCTGCAGCCGTGGGGGAATCATCGCACCCGCCCTGCCTGGCCGGGAGCCACCAGCGCCCCTGCTGGCGCTGACTGGAACTGCACTGGAGGGGAAGTTCCTGCGGCCGAGAGAAGGCCGGGACTGGGTTTCTGTTTCTGTCCTGCTTGTTGTTGCTCCTGTTGTTGTTCTTTGTTTGCCTTGTTATACATATTAGTAAAGAACTAATATTCCTGTTCTCATATCTTTGCCTGAAAACCCAGTAATTTCAAAGTTAAAATAATTTTTAGGGAAGGGAGTCACATTTTCCATTCCAAAGGAGGTTCTGGCCTTCCTTGGCTCACACCTGCCCTTTAAACCAAGACAACACTGAGAGCTGCAGTAGGAGCCAGTGGCTCTTTATGGAATGAGGCATCTGCAACTCTACTGACAGAACCTCAGGGTAGAATGGGTACAGAAACCTGCTCCTTCTGGGTGAGAGTGGCATTGGTGGTTAATCGAACAGGGCACCTGGCAGCTCACTGAAGCAACACGTGTCTCTGGAATGGTCACACAGGGGAATTTCTTCAGCACTATAGTAGCCCAGATAGGAATGTAGAGGAGTACCTCTGGAGCCTCCCTCCTCCAAATATCCAGCTGCTGGGATTTTCAGGGCAGGAAGAAGACAGACGTGGAGTGTTATAATAATTAGCATTTTCTTGGACCCAGCCAGGTTCTTTGGTCATTTTTAGCGACTGTATCTTCAGCTTCTTTCCTGTGGCCCTTGAAAACATATGCTGAGAAGGGGGGGGGGGGTGGGTGGAGCCCCTCCTTTCCCTCTCTTCTTTGACATTACAACTTTAACTATTAACTATTTTATTATTCTCAAATATTAATTACTGCATCAATATTGATTACTGATAAATTTTTATCAGCACGAATCATACCTATTTATCACAAATCCCTCATTTCTCTTTTTGATCATTATGATTCGTGCTGTATTTAAAAAGCTGTACCTTGATAACCTTTATATTCTTCAAAATTTTGATTCTCTCGTTGTCTCCTTTCAGCTTCAAACTTTTCCAGCATTTCTGCTGCTGCCTCTAATTTTTCACACTCTTTTTCAAATTTATTTAACATTTCTTGGGCTATTTCAATCTCTTTAGGTCCTTGTTCTTTTACCTGGGTCGATTTAGCTGTTAGGACCATTACAGATTTTGGTTTTCCTTTTTCTGGGGGTTCTGAATCTTGAGACATAGTTGTAATCTGCATCCCCTGAATCACTGAATTAATTAACCTAATAGAACACGGAATCATACAAGGTAGAAACAGAAGTCCCAGAACTGAACACAACAACATGAACCCCAACTTTTTCCACCAAACACCTCCAAATAGGTTACCCCACCAATCTGCCTTTATCCCCATGACCCATCCTGAGCCCATGTTGCTGGGATGTAATATGCTATAATTTGTTCCGCAAGCCATTCGTCCTCCCCCCATTTTTTGGTTCCCTCCTGCTGTTGGAAAGTTGAGACTCAAATCTCTTTTATTCCGCTGCAAGGTTTCATACAGCAGAGTTCCTAACACATTGCTCCTAGACCTTGGTAGAACAAAGAAGGAGGGTTGTATTATTTCCAAGGTACAGGTTCCTCCCCATTTTTGAGGTAACACACTGTATTCTCGTTGCTCACAAATCCAATATATCCCATCTGGGGCTTTCCATTTCTTATCAGTTTTTTCCAGTTGTTCTCAATAAGACCTCAGGCTGTCGATGGATTGGTAGGGGTCAGCTCCAGGACTTTTGTACCAGCATAAATTAATCTGTTTATCCCATTCACAATTTATTTCTTTTATTGGTCCCCAATATCCAACAGAGTTTTCAGGTCACCAAATTTTTGAATGATTATCCATATTAACCACCAATGTGGATTTACAAAGAGAATGCCTCTCTGCTTTATTAAATTTTCTTCCTTCTCGAGTTATACAAATACTTCCAATTACTTGATGGCTTAAAATCCATCCTTCAGGTCTCTTCAATGTTCCAAAAATTTGGGTCTGATTCCACTTTAAAAATTGCTCTGGAGCTAAGCTCTTACCTTTCCACGGCCATCTCTTAGCCATTTTTAGACCTCCACAAATCCAACATTTGGATTGTCCCAGTTCTGTAGCAATCTCTTGCATCAATCCCACAAACAGATTCTTATTCCAGGCTGGCAAATCCCAACCTTTGTAGTACTGTTTTAGCTGTTTATACAATTCAGCCAATTCTGTTGACTGTTTTCTCCTGTTCTTTCCTCTATTCCCCTTTGTTTCTTTTTCTTCTTTTATTTTCTCTTTCAATTTTTCTTTTAGTGCCCGTTTTCCCATGCATATACTTGGATCATCTCCATTATAATTTCTTTCAAAACAAACAAATCTTTCATATTGAGGGCAAATTTGATCACCATGGGGATAAGGAGCTCGTCCATTACATCCCAAATTTTTCTTTACCCAATACATCTTTCCTTCCTTAATAGAAACATCTATAACACAAACACAGATTCCACCTTGTCCTTAATCCACACAGGTTGATTGCAATAGTGACAAATGTTGAAACTGCCGGGACTTGGGTTTTGCCTTGTTTGCTTTTTCATTGCCAAAACTCTGTTCAGTGTGGCTCTCTGGCTTTGGCCAACCGTCCAGGGTACCATAATGATCACAGTGAAAATAATCCTTAGGAAATCTACCTTTCTACCTTTCTCAAGGCCCCTTGGGTTGCAACCAAGGGCCGAGATACCAGTCTTCTCGGTAGCAAAGGTAATATCCCGGGATCTAGTCACTGGTGCTTTTAGTTTC